AAGTCCTCGGTTCGATCCCCAGCACCTCAGAAACAAAAACCTACCAACTAAATCTGGGGAAACAAAGCAGACACAAGTTCACTTAGTAACATGTGATGATGTAAGAGAAAAGACATTTAAAAACACAATTATCACTATCCACAAGAAATTATACCCATTCCCTTGAGGCAACCGTATTTCTCAAACTAAGCTCTCAAAAGAAATTTCTTACATGAGTGTTACAGAGTTGCACTTTCAATAATATTCCAATAATAAATACAAGATTTATCTGTCAGCCCCTCAAAGAAATCAAGGGAAAACATTTTCATGGCAACCATATAAGGGACCCACACAATACAGTACAAATCTTTTTAGATACGATTCTGGATACTCAAAGTTTTCAGTACTGTCCATATTAGCGAAAGCCCTTCATTTTCATGGGCTCCTGTCTGTCCAGTCAGATTTTTTGCTGATTCTCCTTAAGTTTGCATTTTACTCTTGCCATTCTCTACCATCAGTCACTAGACACGCTGTTGTAGTCCTCTGCTTGAATGGCATTTCATCATCTCTAACTTCTCTGCTTTGAAGATTCAACACTACCTCTTGCAAAAAGCTTTTCCTGACCCTCAGGCGCACGTCCTCCCTGAGTCCACAGTGCTTTTGGATCACCACCTCCAGGGCAGTCGGTGAGTTTCTCTACACCTTTCTACACCTTAGTGTAAACACCTTATGGAAAAGGACTAGGTTTTCACCAACATTCAAGGACAATCTGAACAAGAGAGACCTGTAACCTTCAAAGAAACTGCGCAAAATTCTAGTAGTCTAGCTTGATGATTCAACTTTAAACAGACTAACAAATAGTACTCTATGAGTACTTTCTCACCAAGAATCCTGGCAAAAACTGGCAACTTATCTTTAGTGAGATGCTAGGGTAACTCCTATTTTTGCAGGTATAAGATTCACATCTCCATTAGATGAAAAGCAATCAATCAATCTACACTTCAGTGGATAGATATTGCACAAAAAATCTGTAGGTAAAAACCCAGAGTCATCATCATTTCTCTCAACTTCAAAATTTGTGCTTTATGTTGTATTGATGTTAAAGACTCAATTTTACCACAGAAAACTGAAAATCACATTTAAAACACTAAAATACTATGGAGATGTTCAAACAGATTCTATGTATAGATAATTTTTGACAGTTTACAACAGGATACATTCCCTACTTGTCTCTACCTACGATTTCTTCATTTGACTGCCTACTAAAGCCCTGTACTTAGGGTCACTCTGCCTCTACCACTCATTTACCTTGATGTCTGAATGAAAAAAGCTAATTTAATCTTAGTTAAAATTCCCTCACTGCTTTCAGAAATAGCGCCCCAAATCAAAGATCACTGCTTTAAGATGTTAAACTTGCCAGGCGTGGTTGCATATGCCTGTAGTGCCAGCACTCTGTGGCCTAAGGCAGGAGGATCACTGTGAATTTGAGGCCAGGCTTAGGCTACACAGTGAATTCAAGGTCATCTTGAACTGCACCGTAAGACCCTGTCTCAACAAAACAAAACAAAAACCTAAAATTTCCAGGTTCTGACAGGTCTACTATTAAAACAGAAATCACAAAGCTCTATCCTCAAGCCAGGTCCCCTATACAATTAGGGTCGCGCCCTCCCCTCACCCAAAAGAAAGGTAAGTATGTTCTTCCTCTACTTCTCCAATCCTACCACCACACTGTATGTACCTTAGCAGTTAATCACAGGTTCTATTTCTAGTTGGGCAGTGTTGAGTGGGTGGTTCTGTAGTCCCATGGTGCAGGCAAATGCACCAAATCCCTCTGGAGGACACACTTCGCAAGTTACTGTGGTCCAAACCTGTACCTTGCTTCAAGTAAAGGATGCCTTTTTCTTCCTGCTCCATTGTAGTCAGTCAAAACATTCTGACACCTCAACTCCCCCTTCTTTCTCCTTTCACATTTGATACCACTTCCTTTTTTGTAGTTGGCAGCTACAATGATACACACATGCACACTTTCTAAGTTCTCTCCCGTTTTTTACTCCTCTACAAGAAAATAACGTTGAGTGAAAATCAGCCACATGCAACATGAAAATGGATAGGATTACAGTAACTAAATTTGTAGAATGGAACATAATAAAACTATTCTTTTGACAACATGCTTAAATAATCATTTTAATTTCTGTAAAACACTTTAGAATATAAATAGCTAACCAAGGGTGTGTGTGTGTGTGTGTGTGTGTGTGTACATACACATATATATCTCAAAAAACCTGCATTTAAGTCCATGAAAGCTAAACGTCTATAGTTTCATTTCATTAAGAATGAAAATGACTCACTGGAAGGTTGGAAGTTGATACCTGTTAATTAGGTGAATCTTAATTTTTCATTCATAAAATTCAATCTTCTGAGTTACTGGAAAAAATTACCGAAGAAAAAATAACTTTGTCTCTAAGCATACTGTTGAAACTGAGAAGGCACTTTCACCCACCTACCTATATAAAAGCTAGTGTTTCATTCATTAGTAAAACTTGAAAATCTGTAAATCTTCACTACAAAAGCAATACATTTTAAGTGAAAACTTTTATCCGTATCTTCAAATATAGAAGTTACTATTAAAACAATATTCTAAATAACAGGATTTGAGGGGCCAGGGATGTGGCTCAGCGGAACAGCACCTGCCAGGCAAATGTGAGGCCCTGAGTTACATTCCCAGTCCAAAAAAAAAAAAAAAAAAAAAAAACCCAATTCAATAACAGGATTTGAAGAATCTTTTTCTACTACACCATATTCAAAATTAAGTGAGCAATATAAATTAAAATTCATGGTAAACCAAAGATCTGACTATTGGGAAGCATAACTTGGAGCTACGCCAAGTGTGCTTGTGGTACCAAACCCTAAGTATCTCACCAGCCCCTAGTAGCACTGGACAACTACCCTCTCTAGAAGCAGGCAATCTATCTCTGGGGATTCAAGAAGAACAAATTAAGTACTTTATGCAGGAGGCAGATGCTCAGAGAAAAAACGAGGAATGGGGCTCAGCCAAACTTGATCTATTCCCTCCTACAAAGTCACCAAACAGAAGAACGAGGAAGGACAACAGGAGCTAGTCAGACTGTTTTTATGCCTTACAAACAGCAAGAAACCTATTAATGTCACAAACCAATGTACACAGGTATGAGTACAACTTCTATCTTAATTACACCTGTTAGTAAAATAGCCTCAAGCTGTGAATACAAATCAGATAAAATCACCTAAGAAAGGAATATTCAGATAGTGTATTTTAAATATCCATCAATTTTAAGAATATAAAAAAAAACAGGGTTTGTATCTTAGAAACCCCAAAGTCTTTATTAAGAACTGGAGGCCATAAGACAGAAGCCAACCTCCATTAAAATCGGGAAGTTGTCAGTGGCCATAAAAAAGCAGAGAGCAGCCACGTGGTAAGGCGCTGGCCTAATAACAATAAGCTCAAGCCTCAGGTTCCGTCCCCAGCATCTGGCTGGGGGTGTAGGGGAGGGGGTGCCTGGTCCCTGAGAAAACTCACTTTGGACGTCACACCTGCTGCAAGTGTCTCTTTGTAATTACTCTGCGGGCTTGGCTAAGTATATACCCAGGAAGACCATCTTCCAACACCAGGAAGACTGACACATGAAGACTGAAGAGAACAAAATCTGCCTATTATTTATGATCCGTGCTAAGCCTTGATACACTTTCAGTGGTTTTTGGCCTAAAATGACAACCTTGTAAAGTCAACTTAAGTCTACAGACGCTTCTTTAAAAAATTACTTTAACATCTTACTAAGTATCAAATCGTGCGAATTCTGCAAACAAAAAGGAAACAATGTATTAAAACTGAAAGTTTAAACTCTTTGAAGATTATCAATTTGTTAGCAGCAAATCTACCTAGAAGGTAAAAATGGCTAGACTTGCGCACATAATAAAGCGAAAAAATTGAAGAACTGAGTCCTGAAGGCTCTGAAACGTAATTTTTACCTTTGAATTAAAGTGTAACTTTTTTCTATGTACAAGACACTGCTCTATGCAAGTTAATCTCAGCAAAACCTGGAATTTAAATGAAATTATTTCGATAAAGAAATGCCATCCATTTATGACTGCGGGACAAACATCATCTAAAAGCAGACTACGAACAGAACTCGTTTATACCAATTTAAATTATAATTCCTAGTATTTTTAACAGGATTCCCAGCGACAACTTCTTAAATCATACTTCAATATTCCAGACCACAGAGTGAAGAGTCACCTAATGGGCACGAATCTAAGCAGTAAACAAGCTTTAAAGGGTAACTCCATTTATTATACGGCTTTCTTGACATACAACATCTGTACAAGTATTACGTTTCTCTTAAGCCTTTAAAAGCCCTTCCCCTTAGAAACCTTTACAGAACTCTGCCCGTTTTTTAAGCAAAAATCTGCGCCAGCGAGTCTCTGACATCCCTCCCCGCGGTTCACAAGTGACAGACGCGCTCCTGAGAAAGTGGGTTTCCAGCCGCGTTCTCGGAGTCAGCACTGAACTCTCACACGTGTTCAGGCACAAAACTTTTCACAATTGTCCCCAAATCGGCCCAGAAAACTCCTGCAGAACGCACTGGGGTTCGCTTGGGGCGTTTCCCGGCCTCGGGACCTCGGCGGCACCCGAGCCGCCGGCCGAGCCCTGCGCCCCGCGCACCCGCCCGCCCGCCCGCCCGCCGCGGCCTCCCCGGACCCCGCAGCCGCGTGCCCGCCCGCCCTGCGTGCCCGCCGGCCGGGCCCCGCGAGCGCAGCCGCCCGGGCGCGGGAAAGCGCGAGCCGGCGCCGCCCCGCCGCCCGCCCGCCGCGCACACCCCCTTCCGGCTCCCCTCCCCCGCACCGCGCGCGGCCAGGCCGCGGCCGGCAGCACCCGGCCCGCCGCCCCCCGCCGGCGCTCGGCTCCCGCCGGCACCGCCACACAAAGCCCGCAGACGGCCCCGCGGCGCCGGGGGACGGGACAGGGCGCGCGCGCGCTGGCTTACCAGGCTGCTGCAACCGCGCTGCCTCAGCCGGAGCACCGACCGTTGGGCACCGGCGGCGTCGCTCGCGGCCGTCCTCCCCCTCCTCCGCCTTCGGTAGCGGCGACGTCGTCTTTCTCCTCCTACCTCCCTCCCCCCCACCCCACCTCCTTCTCCTCCCCCTCCTCCTCCGAACCTCCGAGGTACCGAGGGCGAGACAGAGACTCACAACAACATGGCTGCCACCGCCGCCTGCCCTCCCCTCCCCCCGCCCACGGCGCGCGCGCAAGGCACTCCGGGAGAAAGGGGAGGGGGCCCACTCACCATGGCGGGCGCTCTCAGTGGGTCGCGTCCCTCTCCCGCGCTCGGGGCACTGGCCGGCGGCGCCTCTGCGCGTGCGCACGCTCCGCGCCGTCTCGCGCGCGTCGGGCCGCCCTCCGGCAGGCGCTGCCCGCGCTCACCTTGGCCGGCGGCGAGGTCTCGGCCTGTGCGGCTCGCGCGCTCCTCCGGGCCCCGCCGCGGCTTCGGCGGGAGCGCGCCCGGGCGGACGGCGCAGGCGTGGGGCTCCGGACGCTGCGTTCCACCGACTTCCCGCGTGGGGCCTGGCTTTCCGGAGGGCGCCGCCGCCGCTTCCTGCCGGCGGCTTATTGTTCTCCGCCGGCTTCCTGGAGGTGCCCTCGCCTCGCACGCACTGCGTTTCCGGGGTGCTGACGCCCGCAGCGGTGGGCTTGAGGCCAGGCCTTTGGATTTCACCGCCGCGTGGACCCTGAAGGTGCGCTCGGGGTGAAGAATCGCACCCCTGGAGTGCAGCGGCTGCTCCCTGGCGGGCGGAGCCAGCTCTCAGCACACTGCCCCCCGGTGCTTGCCCGGGTGAAGCACGAGGGAGACGAAACACGCATCTCCAGCCGCGCACCGTCACGTCGGAGCGAACCCTCCGCCCGGTTTACCGGCCGGCTGGAGCCTCCACACCTGCCCTGGTGCGGTGCAGCCCTCCCAGTTGGGAATGTGCAGAGAATAGCCTTGACTCCGAGATCTGGACCCATCCTGATGGCTTACGTGCCCCACCCCCGCCCCATTCTCCCGACGGTCTGTATGCCTCCGTATCCAGGGCCTCCGAGCACACCCTCACTCTGCGTTTTGTGCTCGTTAAAACCGCGAGCCCACGAGCCCTTCTTTCACAAACAGTGCTGATACGGAAATCCATCTGTGAATCTTAAGTTTTTGTTGCTTTAACACAACAATGGGTGGTAGTTTATAAAGTGATTTCTCACCGTTCTGCAGGCTGGGAAGTCCCGAGTATGGAGGTGCCACTGCCTGCGGGGGATTCTTGTCATCCATGGTGTAAAGCCTAAGCACAGGAGAGCAGGAGGGACTAAATTGGTTTTTGTTATTGTCGCTGGGGGTTTGTTTTGTTTTGTTTTGTTTGTTTGTTTTGCTTTTGAACCAGGCTGTCCTAGAACAGGCTGGCCTTGATCTCACAGCAGTGTGCCTCAGCCTCCTGAGTGCTGGGATCACAGGTGCGCCTAAGCCTGGCCCTGAGCTCCATACAATCCCTAGCCTTTACACTTCCTTATTTTGAGACAAGGTGTCACTAAGTTCCCCAGGCAACTCTCCACACTCCTGCTTAGCTGCCAGGATGCTGGGGTTACTGGTGAGCCTCATCCTTCCCTGGTTAATCTTGTTTCAGAACAACCCACTCTGGAGATACTTTAGCAAGCACACACTCCTTTGATGTTGAGAATCCATGAAGGCAGAACCCTGGGGGCGCTAATCTCTCCACCTCACAACATTGTTGCACTAGGAGTTAAGTTGCTAACAGGTTAACAGGTTCGCTTTTGTAGATACATTGAAACCACAGCACTGTCTCCTGCCTTTACCTTGACCCCGGATTTCAAGCCTCTAGATAATTCTTTTTGAATATTTTTTTCCTGTCGTTCAAAAATTTAGTGTAAACTAAAATCACACGCAGCTTTTGTACCATCTCCACAACTGAGGACGTCACTCTACTGATTCCCCAAATAATTCCTCTGAAGTATCCTTGTTTTTCTCTTTATCCCCAGCTCTCCACATAGATAACTGGTTGAGCCTTACGTTTCACTTCCTCTTCCCCAACCTTTTTCTGTTTTTAAGGCAGAGTCTTGCCTGAGTCACTTAGTTGCCCAGCCTGGCCTGGCACGTCCAGCCTTCCTGCCTCAGCCTCCCTGAATGCAAGGATTATAGGTTCCCACACCGGGCTACTTTGTAAGTATTTCTGCAGATACCCTCTGTCTTCCTGCTAAAACAAGCCTTGCTTCCTAGGTCTCAGTTCCTATAGCAAGCTTGTAATCAGCCTTCCAGTCTCCAGGCTCCACTCTTCCCATCAGTTCTGTTTACCGCCATCTAAAATGCAAATCCAGCTTGTGGCACTCAGACCTCTAACTCGAGCACCACAGCGCCCTGCACTCAACACAGCATTTCCCAAGCATGCGTTGTTCAGTGTTGATACATGTTCCTGTTTAAAAAAAAAACAAGGTGTCCCACAGCTGGAGGTGGTGGCACCTTCCTGTAACCTCAGCACTCAGAGGCTTAGGTAGGAGGACTTCAAGTTTCAACCGGGTAGCATTCTGGGAGTAGCCCAGAGTCCTAAATAAAAGCTATTATACCACGGTTGCTATTTGTTACTTACAGTAAAGCAGGATCCATACAGTTCCCAGTCTTCCCACGAGCAGTACAAGGCCTAACTTAGAAGGGTTTTAGTGTTGTTTTAAACCTCTTGACATCATCTAGAGAGTCTTAGTGGTTTTTGGAAAAGCAGCCTCTCATTTTCATTTTGCCCTGAGCTCCGCAAATTATATAGCTGGTCCTGATTATGAAGTATTATCCCTATGTGAGAAAAGGTTCTTTTTGTTTTGTTTTGTCTTGTTCTTTAACTGTAGATAGACTTCTTAGTGCCTTTACAATCGAAATAGGCATTTAAATATCCAAGTAAAGGACCTACTGTATGCAGTGTTCCTCAGTCGAATTAGGCATTTAAATTCATAGACGACCTCTTACGGTTTGGTGTTGTGTGGGACACAGATTGGCTTAGTTACTTTCTTGTTGCTGGGACAGAATACTCAGCATCTATATTTTAGAGGAAAGGTTTATTGTAGCTCACAGTTTGTGGAAGTTTCAGTCATAGCTGGTTCCAAGGCAGGGCTTACAGGCACGGTGGAGGAGAAACAGCTCGTGGCATGGCAGGCAAGAGGCAGCAGGGACTTCCATCTTTTATCTTTTGATTCCACCCAGGCTGCACACCTGTCAATTGGTGTCACCCAAATCCAGGGTGGATCTTCCCTCTTTAGTAAATCCATCACCCACACCCAGAGCTACACTAAACCAATCAGTGCACTGATCCTGTGTCTCCTACCTGAGGTCCAGTTACCCTCAAAGCCCCACTAGTGAGGGGGACATCCAGGTTTAAACCACAACACAGATCCAAGCCCAGCCCTTCACTGATGTGGCTCAGCCTGTCCTGATCTCCTGTCTAGCTCATGATCCCCAAAGTACCGCAAGCAGTTGCTTCCCTGTGTGACTTCACATACGCTTTGCAATCTGCCGTGCTCATTAAGCACTTCTGATTATAATTGGCTTCTCTTTACATTTACTTACAAGGAAAGAATGTGCTCCTCAGCTAATAAAAATACCTTGTGTGTTTGTCCTGAAGATGGACATGGTAATTGACACCTTAATGACCATCCCAATCACCTCGGAGCTTGTTAGAAATGCAGAATGTGAGCCCCTGCCCGACTACTGAATCTGCCTTTTCACAAGATTCCTTGGTAATAGCTATTGCAGTAAAATGTGAGCAGCATCTGTAAGCCAATCACAGCAGTCCCACCGCGCTCCCTAGGAATCGGCTCTGTCCCGGGTGCGCTCCATCCATTTTGATCCAGGGAGACCCAGTGAGGTGCTGACCAGGAACATCCGGGCAAAGCTGTCTCTATCCTTGAACAAAAGAGAAACTTGGAGGAACTGCTCGATGCATGTCATTTCCCCCACAAGAGAGGCCAGCTCACAAAAGATTTTCAAAGATTAAACATCATTAATAGGCCAGAGTAATCTTGCCGACTGTATGTATATTTCAGCGTTTGTTAGGTCTGAATTTCTCTGCTACTGATGGTACATTAACGCTCTGCTCAGCTCTTCGTTGAACTTCCTCATTTTTCACTTACTGTTTTTTGTCAGGTTTGTAACTTCTACATCCTATTAAGATCTATTATCTCCTGTAAGACCTGTCTTAATTTTGGTGTTTAAATGTATTTGTCCACTGCTTTCATTCACTCTTCTTATTTTGTTATGGTTGTGTGATGGTTATCTTGTAACAGCCGCAGCAGTCACAATTCTGTAGACTGGCAAATTGGGCTGGGTTCATCCCTGAGGTTGTGGGGCTCACTTGTGCAGGCACAGTTGGCAGTGGCTTGGCTGGGGCTGGAAGGTTGCCATATGGTGGTCAGCCAAGACACCTTTTGCAGTCCAGTGGGCCCAGGGCGTGTTTATAAGCCCAGTGACAATGGGAGTTATAAATCCTCTTTGGCCTAGACTTGGAACTTACATAGTATCCATTCTGCTTATACTGTATCACTTCTGTGTCACTTTTTGGTCAAACAAATCTTAAATCAAGGTTCCAAACACTTACCTTTAATGGGAAGAGTTACAAAAGTTTGTATCCATGTGCAGTCTTCATTGATGGCTTCATAGTCCTTGTGTTATTGCACCTTTGAAAATGCCTTCTTAATATATGGAAATTTAAACTATTCTTGAGTCACTTTTTGTTTTTCTCCTCAAAACTTTGTCAGCATTACCTTTATGAAAAAATCTGAAGCTAGTTTGATTTTAACCTTAAGATTTTTTGAGTTCTCAAGCAGTTTGGGCAACTCAGCAAGACCTTGTATCTCATAATATAAAAGTCCCCCCTCCCTGACTTCCTTTTTGAAGTTTCATAATCATTCCCTAACAGATTTTCCTGGTATTAAAATATAACCTTGCTATTTGAAAATTGAGTTCTTTCAAATGACTTCAGGGGAAACTTTATGTACACTTCCAAGTATTTTTTTCCTCTGGTCTTTGAAGGGTTCTGTATTTCAGGGATGATGCTT